TACTCTTATTGAATAATTAACCATTGATTGTTAAACAATGACCTTAGTCATAAATAAATGAATTTTTGAATAAAATGCTATCTTTCAAAAATGAAAAAATTTGTTATGAAAATTGGGAAGTTATAGACGTCACACAAGGTTGTATGAAAGATACTTGGTAGAAAAGAAAGTTCATACGGAACTATGCCCGGAAAGAAACATGTATTACTCATTGTTAGGTGATGAAGTGGGAAAGTTTGAGGTTAAGACTATTGTTGGTGACACTAATTGGGAGGGTGATAATGTAGATGCTAGCTCTCCTAAATCTGATTTGGCTGATGAAGTAGACCAATCTCATAAAGAAAAAGCTAAGCTTAGAAAATGAGGGAATACCCGTTGATCTATTGGTGTTGGAATCTAAGGGCAACATTAATGGTTTTGCAATAGATGGGGATTTTGATGTTAAAACTGATAAAGATGAAGTGAATCTCGACAATGGAACCACTATCGATCCTCTTATATTGATAAAGAGTAATGGCATTGCTCAGGATGTTAATGGCCATATTGGCAAAAACACTTGGTAAGGAGAACATGTTGTTAAGAGCACATATGTGTATGATGCTAATAAGATAAAAAATTTGGCAGATGCTATTAATACAGATGATTGGCTCCCTACTGTTACTAAAAGAACTCATAGGGGGTTTTTAAGGAGGAAAGCTAGCGTGAGATGTATGAGTCAGCATCTGAAGAGGATGTTCAAAACAATGCAAATTTGCATTCCCAAAATGAAGAATATGTTGATGATACTAAATGCACGGATCTGATCTGATCTCTGAGAATTTAGAAGAAAGGAGCAATGATGATAAAGAAAGAAAGATGACTGATGGGAACAATGATGGTGATGGTCGTTTAACAGTTTTGAGATATAAGGCTCTCAAGAAGAAGCAGAGGAGAAAAAAAAACATCATAAAGTGAATGGTGGCCTAGAGAAGTCTGATCATTTTGAAGGTAAAGATGCTGACCATATCTGAATAAAGGAGGAGAATGTTGGGTTAATTCAGATTCTGGGACAGATTTTAGTCCCGGGGGCATTTTTGGAAAGTTTCCTTTTTCTTTAGTTTTTGTATTAGAATAGGATATCAGCACGTTTAGTATAAATAGGGTACATGTCTTATGTATTATGTATTTTTTATTTACTTTTAATGTCTCAATAAGAATTCCCTGCAGCCAAAGAAAATTCCCAGAATTGTTTTTTTTTTTCTTGTTCTTTCTCCTCTGTTCACTTATGTCCAGATTGTTTTGTATTAATTAATTCTTCAGGAATCAAGTGAATTGATTCCTGTATAACAGTATAAACCTCACTCTAAAAGAATTTAAACAAATTATTTTAGTACGTCTAGATTGCTCATGTTTCTGGTGTATGTAAAGGGGGATTTCTCCGTGAAAAAGAGAGCCAAATAAATAGTCCAAGAATAAATTTGTAGCGAATGAAAGGAAAAACAAACATCTAAAACAGTAGAACACAGTTACTGCCAATCTAAAACATATCAACCATCCATGTCTTAGAATTGCTACGTACTAGAAAGCCAAGCTAACCTGGATGTATAGGCATGAAGGAAGGGATGATCCAGAACTCTGGAGGCATCGGGTTGCTTCCTCCCCATTCTGAAACGCCAAGGACCTATCATGTACAAGGGTTTTTTGTTTTCTTTAAATGTTGAATAAAAGGAATAAAAAAAAAAAACAAAATAAAGGCATATACTGTACACATAATTAATTCTGCATGAAGAATTTTATTTTCATCTGTTTCTCACGAAAATAATTAATGTCTTACTGAAAGCCAAGTTTTCCCCCAAGAAGGATTGGCTGTCGCAGTGCCATGATCTAAAATCCATTTTCTAGCTTTGGTGCATGCACCATCCAAACCACCATCAGGCCCTTCTCCTAAAAGACGCATGCAAATGTAACTCAGGGTCGTGCAAAACATTGTGCTATCACCTTCTATGTGAAGTCCCCAACCACCATCTTCGTTCTGTACATTAATCCACATATCTATGCGTCAAATGGTATAACTGGATTGATGTGTATACGGATGTACACACATATATGATACAAATTAAAAGGGTATAGGCATATATAAATCTGTCGTCCATAGATTATAGTAGTAACATTTAGTACCTTAATTACCTGATGACAATATAAGTACCGAAGAGTTTCTTTTCTGTGTTCTGCTGAGAAGACGCTGTTAAGATGGCCTGTGATATACAAGCATATAACCTGCAAGCGTACCGCTTGTCAATATCAGATATATACCATACACCTTATAAAAACTAATTTTATATATATATATATATATATATATATATATATATATATATATATATATATGAGTATGAAAGAAAATCAAAATATTTACCAATGGCGGCATGAAATACAAAAGGCCAGCATTTTCAGCTGGCCAATGGCCATCGTCCGCCTGCAAGGCGGCAAATAAGTGAACAGACCTCCTCAAGGCGGTGGTAGCTTTTTCATAAGAGATCTCTTCATCATCCTCTAACTTCACCTGAGGTATGGTCTGTTTGAATTGCTTCTCTCTCAAAAACTGCATATACACATACATAGTTCCAAATTTGATTTACAGAAAAATTAATAAAGGTACGAATTGAAATCCAGGAAATTAAGAACGAGCAACGATCGACCTGCATGCGCCAAAGGACATCACTGGTGGGTTTGACCTGGTGTCGATGGTTCCAGAAATGGAGACGAGCTTGTTCAACCTCCTCACGCTCTTCTGCAGTTCCGTAGTTGGGATCAAACTCCCATGTTTGCCTACCAACAAAGTTGTTTGTGCTGTACAGGTATGGATTGTTGCCCCCTTCGGCTATCTTTAATCTCCACATTTTGCTGCAATTGCTTATCAGTACATCAATGAAGCTTATCAGTAAATTGTAAAAACTAAAATCTTAAGTATTTAAACATTCATATGCATGGTGGTACGTCTATCCTGTGAATGTATATCTCTGAGGCTCTAAGATTAGTTTTGGAGGGTGAGTTGAACTGGAAGCCAATAGCAACGACTTGTTATATTAAATATTGGCACTTGACACTACAACTGCCTCCTGTTTTTATAGTACAATAAGAGCGATCAGAAATACATGCAAGTCTACTAATTAAAGATACATTTTTATGATTCCTTCTCTTTTTATGTATAATGATCGATGTTATTTTCATTTACTGAGTAGAATTGATGTATCATTAGTTGGTGGGGTGCCACAAAACATGAGACATGACATCTATACTGGTGGGACTTCAATAACTCAAGCACATGTTTCTTCCCTTTTCCTTTATTAATTAGGCTAGGCTAACCACATGAGTCATGACATCATGATATGGTGTAATTTAATTTATATTTTACTTTTTGAAATTTTGAATTTTTTTTATTTTTAATATGACAGTGAAAAACAACTCCGATCTATCCAAGTAGTAACACCAAACTTTCCCCTATATGTACACCAAATAAAAGACATCGACATAACATCTTATGCAATTTTGGTTGATGATGTGAGAATGTTATTGAACACCTTGTTATTCTTTGCATTCCAAAGGCACCATCATAAGCAATAGATAATTGTGATGAATATTTTAGGTTTCCTCGGACAATTTCACCATACAGCGACATAATCTAGAAACTCCAACACTGATAAGAATTGCCAATGAGAAGTTCCACACAACAAATACATGATCAATAGACTCACCACAAGATAAAAGGGAATCAACGGTGACAAAAGTTGCCGGTAAAAGTTAGTTTTGTCGTCGGTAAAGGCAATTGTGGTGACACGTCACCGGTAAAAAGTCACCGGTATTGCCCTGTTGTTATTGCTCAAAATGTCTTCAGTAAAGGTATTTGTTAGATGCAGAAAAAAATTACGTAACGGTATCCGATTAGGTACCAAATACTATTATAATTTCATACAAATACCAAAATAAACACCAAAAGTGTTATAATTCCAACAAGTATCAAAATGTCACAACAAGTCTAACATACAAAATACAAACTAATTATCGGACAAACCATCATCTCTGTTTCCCTCGTTTCATCCTTGATGTTTTCCCATTGAAAAAAACTCATAAAGTTTCTCCCTACATGCCGGGTCGTTGAGAATTACCCGAAGATCTTCTAATTACATAATAAATAACAATATATATATAAACTTATAAGTTAAATTATCAAACACTATAAAGAAAAAACCCTACCAAAGTTCATTGCTATTTCTTGTACTTAAATATAATAAATACCAAAAGTACATTGTTATTTCTTGCACTAGGAACATAAACACAATTACCAAATTAACATGCATTTGTTGATCATGATATAGATATATGATACTTTCAAATTAAATTGTCTACTTTTTTGTGCTAAAGAACCTTAAATACAAGAAATACCAAATTACACTATTATTTCTTCCACTTTGGACAAAATCAACACAATTACCAAATCAACATGAATTTATTGATACCAAAGTACATTGTTATCTCTTGCACTTGGCACAAAAAACTAATTTGCATTACTATTTCTTGCACTTAGGATAAAAAACAAATTACCAAAGCTTTTAGCAAATAATCACCCCAAACCAAAATTACCAAATCAACATGCATTTATTGAAATTAAATAGTCTTGTTTTACCTGTGATGGATGTAACTGTGGTGGTGGTTGCGATGGTTGTGCAATTGGCGGGATAACAAAAGGTTTTCGACCTATGCCTATGATATGACCACGCTGTTTACCTAATACTCTCTCGAAACATGCTCTTTCTTCAGCGGGTGTTAAATATCTTTCACCTTCTGACCCTTACGTTTGTTCTAAGAGCTTTTGCACTAACCGATTATATGTTTTCCAAAAATGATTAACAATTAAGTATAAATAAACACTTAGTTATATGATCAAAATTATAATTAAATACTTATGTATTGTTGCTCCGCTATATCAGTAGCAAATATACCATTCTTATCGGTACAAGCATTGCAGAATGTTTTAACATTCTCCAGGTTCTGTTTAACATTAAAAATTAGATTATATTTCAGATAAATAATTACATATATCGTATGTTACCTTTTTATAGCAAGTACTGTTATACAAACTTGACCCCACGATTCACTGATCTTTGCAGTTCAAGGACTTTTTTGTTTCTTGTCGAAGCAGTTAGGTGTTCATCCGTTTGGAAATACTCTACAACTTTCCTCTAATTATCAACATTCATATCATTTGGGGGTGGCTAATGCTCTCATGATATCCAAAACCCTCAAACTCTCAAAAAATATGCTTTTGCGTCCGCTTTATGCTCTCTAAAACCTTTTAACAAAGTCGCTTCAAAACTTTCTAACATCCTAGTAGCCTCTGGATCCTGGGAAATTCTATCAAAATCAAACTTTGTCTACAAAATAATAATAATGATAATAATAATAATAATAATATAGCTAAGTAAAAACCAGTCATAATTAACCATATAAAATATTGTTATATAAATAATTTACCCTTAAATGTTGTTTTACTATATCTTTTAATGTGAGTGAAACTTTTTTTTCA